GTCCAACATGGCTTTACATTTGGGTCAACATTTTTCCGAAGCGTCCCAACAGGTCACCCTTATCTGACACAAACTGGATGCTGTCAAGCTGCGGACGTACCTTTGCCACTGCTAAAGATTAAAGACTCGTGTTTAAAAATAACTCTGACCTATTATGTATGTATGCACAAGTTTCACTAATGATTACTGTAACACAAACCGATATGAAAATATTTTGCAATCATAAACTTCATCTCTTGGGTGCATGAGCAGGCTCTCTTGCATATAAATACTTGCCTTCCAAACATTGACATCAGGTGACTTAGGTTCATCATTCCGCTATTGCCAAGGAGGGAGTTTTTTGAGCAGACACAGTCATTTGGCATATCAATATCATTCTAAAAGATGGTCTCAATTTACAGCTTAGTGGTTGCCATGGTTAGAGATTCCCCTGACTCAAAGTTGGCCTATTAATAATCACTAATGGCCCACTCTGCAAATTGCCAGCTTCTTCAAGCAATACTTGCAACCCCAAGTCTATCTACATCCAATGAAATTGGTAAATTCATTTGCACATTTGTCAGAGGAATCATACATGACATCAAAAACTGAATAAGTGTGATCCCTTATCAACTTGTTAGCTTTTTCAGATTCAGAAGTGCTACTACAACCGAGAAAACAACTTGCAAAACGTATGTCACATGATGTGAGTCATTTACTAGAGGTTTGATATGATGTGAGAAGATTAAAAAAAACTCATTTTTGTTCATTGGATGTGCTTACTTTGCTTAGGTGCAAGCTTCTTACACTGAATGTGCAATTTGTCAGAATGACACAGGTGGGGCAACCTGCAAATGGAATGGTTGCCAGCATCAATTTCATGTTGGTTGTATTGATCCTTGGCGTAATGGTAGAGATGAAAAACATACAGCATGCCCAAAGTGCCAACTTGTCGATCCAGTGCTACTTGAAAGATACAGGAAAAGAGAAATATCGATTGAAAAAGCAATAGAATCTGCAAATAGACGTTCAAGGTATAGGGACAGAGGATTCAGGGTAAGCAATCTCCTCAAGTTCAATTTAGACCTAGAAAGACATTGGCAACTTAAGTATCTGGCATTGTTTAGTGAGGTGCCCAATGTCCCTATTGCCACTCCAGTACCATCCAGCCAAGATCTGGGAATCTGCTTTGTTGTACAAGATGCAATTCCAACAGGCCCCGATGAAGGTAAAGGAATTCATCAACAAATCTGGAATGGGCCCTAAAACACTCTTGATGCTAGCCTAAGAATCCCTGCAACTGTTCAAACACATGTGATCAGCTTTGCTTTCAATTCTACTATGTGTTGACTGTTATATAATACTCCTCTAGAAATCTGGCTTAGGTTTAATTTTTTTGTCTCTGAAACTTTTCACAGACTGAAAAATGGATAAAAAAATCTATTCATGAATTTTTATACCGGGTAGGGAACCTGCGGTGCCAATTAACAGAGTCAATCTACATGCCCCTTTGAGCTCGAGCCGTCGTCACCCACTAGTGATGATGATAACTTTGTGCAATAGGCCCCAGTCCTCTAGTACTCACATTATTTAATGGGAGTAGATTTAAATATGTAAAGGGTCCTCCCTCTATCAAATTCACTAACTCGATTGTGCACCAACTTTGAGGATTGGGCAATTGGAATTAGACATCGCCCGGATGAACGGTTGGGCAATTCGAATAAGAATACCAACACTGAATGAGTGCCGAGTATCCCTCAGGAGCATAGCAGTCAAACTCAAGAAGTGATTGCAAAGAGCGCAATGAGTTGCAGGTAACGGAGCTTCTGAAGAAGGTCAAACGAACATGGCTCATAATTTTTCATAGAATTTCATTGCTTTTTAACCCATGACAGCGTACACTCGGACAAGGTTGTCGGTGTAACCAGCGAACAAAGTACCACCGTCAGGAGACCAAGCTAGCGATGTACACTCGGGTACCTTAGCCTTCTTGGTGTCAATGTCGGTGAAATCAGGCTTGATCTCATCGACGATGCTCTTGCTCTCAAGATCAAAGATCTTGATGCAGGAAGCGGTGGCTGCACAGAGCCAGTAACGGTTAGGAGAGAACACAAGAGCGTTGATGATGTCTCCGGCTTCCAATGAGTACAGGTGCTTGCCCTCGTTCAAGTCCCATAACATGGTAATCTATGATCATAAATCAAGTCAGATGGGTCTGGCTGCTGAGCAGAGGAGAAAAAAAAAACTAACGCCGTCCTTTCCACCGGAGCCGCAGAGTGATCCATCAGGGGAAACAGTGACGGTGTTCAAGTAACCGGTGTGGCCGTGGTGGTTGGTGCGGAGCTTGCACTTGGAGAGCTCCCAAACCTAGGAATGATCGGAAGAAAACGTATTGGTCAGCATCAAGATCAATAACAGCCTGAAGGTGGTGAAAAAGGGGACGGTTTGGTTGTAGGAATCAGAGATCTCGGTGGAAATTTTAGTTGTTCTCATCGGGTAGATAGCCCTCCGAAGTAGCAAATATATACGAGTATAATGGTACATCATTTCACAATCTAGGTGACCGCTTGGGGCAATCGTACACACCTTGACAACCTTATCCCAACCGGCGGACACAATAACTGGGTTCATCGGGTTAGGGGAGAATCGGACGCAGGAAAACCCATCCGGTGTGGCCTTCATCCTTGATTTCGTATTTGCACTCTCCGAGAGTGTTCCATAGCTTGATGGTTCGGTCACGTGATCCAGACACGATCTGCAGAGGGACGACATGTTGGCAGCTGATCGATAAACAGACGAGGTTGGATACTGACCTGTCGGTTGTCAGCACTGAAAGAGACCGAGAGGACATCTTTGGTGTGACCGACAAAAAGACGGGTGGTGAGACCAGTGTTGAGATCCCAAAGACGGAGGGTCTTGTCCCAGGACGAAGAGAGGGCGACTGCGGATGTAAGAAAATAAGCACGGGGACGGTGGGCAATAGGAGACATGCGAAGACAATTTACATTGCCCGTCCGAGGAAGTCACAATGTCGGAGACAAAGTGGTTGTGGCCACGCAGGATTCGCTTAGGGAAACCGTAAGCACCCTGTGTGTGCAAAAGTACGGAGAGAGATGGGTCAGCTCGAATTGCGCCGGGGAGGGATTAATCCAAGATTGTAAATAAAGACAGTTAAAGGCAATGAGATGACCTACGTCCTCTCGGCTGAGTTGCCAGACAATGATCGTCTTATCTATCCAGGGCCAGCGGTAGGTTTACAAACAAAGGGTTGACGGAAGGTAAAGACAACATGAGCTCTTCCTCCGCACTTTAAATCACAAGAGTGGTCAAGCGCAGATGTCCTGCCAGGGGCAGCAGCTCAGAGTCGCGTAGACGGGGAGAGGAGGGACAAGATAATCTGGGAGGCATACGAACCCCGGGAAGCGGTCAAGATCATATCGCTGACCACGTTTTGGGGGAATGGAGATGAGCGCGTCAGTCAAGCATCTACGACATATAACATCCGTCATCATCATCATCATGGGGAAGAGTCGTGAACTTACGGGTTTTCGGCCGAGGTGGCAATGGCGGTGATCCATCCGGCGTGACCGGCGAGGGTACCTTTGAACAACAAAGACTCCGACATCTTGTCTTGATATAATATGAGTGTTGCTGGACCCGAGTCGATGGCAATCGGAGGAGGTGCTTGAGGTGTTGGTGGTCTGTGCCCCTGCCGGCAGTGTGGGCTTTTCTAAGCCCAGCCGGTCCGATATGGTGAGTCTCGCAAATCGGAGTGCTCGGCTGGTGTGCTGTGCTGTGCTGAGTTAGGGTTACCCCAGCCAACTCACCTGTCACAGACATCTTCCACCCATGTCACACTCATCACCCACCCCCCTCAGCCAAGCCACCCACTCCGCCCACCCGCTTTCCCTAGTAGGACAGTGTCGAATAAGGTACCAACACACCGGAGGCCCCAAACGATCACTCTGTCTAGTTCCCTCATACTAACCGACCATGCCACCAAAAGTAAGAGATCTGTCTCACTATCAGCCTTGGTTTCCTGACCTGACCTGCTGCTTTCCCTGGCTATCTAGATCGACCCCAATGAGATCAAGATCATTTACTTGAGAGCTACCGGTGGAGAGGTTGGTGCCTCATCCGCCCTGGCCCCCAAGATTGGTCCGCTTGGTCTCGTGAGTTTGATCTCAGGCGTCCTTCCTCTGCCCAACGCCGTTGATTTCTGACCATGTAATTACAATTCTCTTGATCGCCGCAGTCCCCCAAGAAGGTCGGTGAAGATATCGCCAAGGCCACCGGAGATTGGAAAGGTCTCAGGGTCACCGTCCAGCTGACCATCCAAAACCGTCAAGCCGCCGTTGCCGTCGTACCTTCCGCCTCATCTTTGGTCATCAAGGCACTCAAAGGTTAATGCCGTTCCATTTCACATCTTTCGTCTCAACCTTATTCCCCTCCCACTGAGAGAGAGAGCAAGAGTCAACCTGACATTTCCCTGATTCTGTAGAGCCACCCCGTGACCGAAAGAAAGAGAAGGGCATCAAACACAGCGGCAACGTGACGCTTGATGAAATCATCGAGATTGCGCGCAAGATGCGATTCAAATCGTTGGCCAAGAACCTGGCGGGTACCGTCAAGGAGATCCTGGGCACTGCCCAAAGTGTCGGTTGTACCGTCGACGGTCGTCCTGCTCACGATGTCATCGAAAGCATCAACGAGGGCGAGACCGAAATCCCAGAGGAATGATCGTCTACATACTCACTTTCTTACAATCTCATCATTTCTCCTCAATCTTGCCCGTTTAACGAATAAAATACGTTGTCTTCATCACGTTCCCTGGTTAATCTTACTTTTCAAAAGGGCGTCAGCCTATGAAGCACTTGTCAAAATGTGCCAGCATTCTCTGCCCGCCCGCGTCAAGCTCGTGCAGCCTTGGTGGGTCTGCTATGAGTACGGAGTACCTGAATTTTGCATGAGGTCTAGCGTGAAGGCCGGTGGTACATGGCTCTGGATGCTTCTATGTACTAGTCTAACAGGCAACCAACTTTGGGAGATGGAGATTAGAATCAGGTCTAGCAAAAGCCTTTGAGTGGCAATGTGACAGGCACGACTCCACTCGCAAGCCAACGCCGCCCACAGCCGGGTATGATATCTCTGGCAGTTTTGCACCACCGAAAATTCAGAGGCGCGTATGTATTTCAGGCGCGCCGGCCTCTAATTGGGACATCACAGATGCACAGCCCATCAGCCGCCAGTTTTCCAATAATCCCTGTGGTCGGCTTCGGTTGGGACGACGAGCCATTTGACGCTCGTTGCAAGGATGGCCGAAAGCAAATAAAGCTTCCATGCGGTGAGCATTCGTCGCCCCTGCGATTCATTGAAGTGCAGTGAATTACGCGTGGGGTTCCGGGCGTTGACTGTGAGATCGGGTCAAAGTTAACTTCGGGCCGGTGTATACCAAGAAGCTCATTATCAATGCGATGCGCATCATAAAACCGAAGCAGGGAATTCCCAAGTCATTTCCCCCGGTTATTGTTGACGATGGAGGTGAAGACGAACTCGACTGGTTGCCTATCTGATCGATTCTGATCAGTCTTTTTTTTCTGGGAGTCTATGTACCGTCGTATCCATGCTCGGTAACCCACAGAACACAACTACCGGGACGATTGGGAGTCAAATTTCACTGCCATGACGTCAGCTCACTGCATATCAATAACAGGCATCTGAATCGCGACGAGCTTTTCTTTTTTGTTGGCAACCTCAATACGTTGTGCTTCAGTTATGGGCGAGACAAAATCATATAAAATCACCAAATCTCTCTCGCCCCCACCCTTTATTAGAAGCTATCCTTCCCGGAAATTCTTTTAGTAGTAGCTTTCAAAATGTGGAAATACTTGCTAGCTCTTGCCTCCATTTATCCTCACATTCTCCTGGCGAGTTACGATTCAAATCTCCGGCTTCTTGGCCTCTCTGTCGCTCAAACTGGACAAAGGAGTGATGAGTGGGCAAACAGTACAGACTTGATCTGCAAGCCATCCGAGTCTCCCTTCTTTTCCTCATCACAAAACCTGGTGTACAAGTATGACAAAATTATCCCACCGACAACACTGATTCCGTTCCGAGATGGGTTCTCCAAATCGACGTGTTTTGCAAATCCGATCGATAACAAACCGGAGGAATACTGCATCTTCATCAACCCAACGATCAACGGGGGGCAAGGAATGGTGGTAGTGACGCCGACAGAGCTTTTCGAAGACAGTCTCAACGATGGCCTCAAGCTCTCGGATGATCCGCCGAATCCCGAATCCCTGAAGGTTGTTCCGATGCCTGAAAAAGGTGGGATGGGAGCTCTGGCTGCGCGCAACCTTCGGAGAGGCGATCCGGTCCAACGGACGCGTCCTGTGGCCCTCGTTGCCGCTGCTCAACCGATCTGGTCCACTCGCCTTGGCCGCAGTATTCGGCGACAAGCTATCGACCATTTGCCGCTCCATACGCGAGCCGCAATCGCAAGCCTCCACGGTCAGGGTCAAACTGAGGACGAGTTTATTTCTAGCGTCATTGAAGCCAACATGTTTGCTACCAAGTTGTTTGGAGACGAAGCCACACACTTTGGCGCATTGGTTTTGCAGGGATCGTGAGTCTCTGGTCCGATTGAAACCTTGACACACCATGAGGGTGGAGTATTGAGAGTTTTCCGGAGAATATTCGCAGTCGATTGAATCACGCCTGCCGACCCAACGTAGTCTACTACGTCGATCACGAGACACAGCTCTTGCATATGACAGCGTTTGAGTCAATTTCCATGGGCGAAGAGCTTACCATCAGTTGTCAGTCACAATCACTTTTGCAATCCTGCTTCTAGGTCTTTATATACATATGCTGATCAAAAAAAAAGTATAGATCGTTCTTTAGAAATGGACCGCGCAAGTCGACAAGATGACCTCCAAGAGTCCTATGGTTTTAGGTGCACCTGTTCACATTGTCAAATGAGTGCCGAACTGGGGAGACTCTCAGATCAACGACTCCTGCGAATAGCCGCACTCAAAAAGAAATACTTTTCTGAGGATCCAAAGTTTTCTGCTGATGACGTTAATGAGCTCGTCAATCTTTGCCAAACGGTACGACTATGTATTACTCAAAGAGAATCATTCCTGGAAGTCACGAACTGACTTCTTAATTCTGTCTCATGTAAATAAAACAGGAGAAGATCCCTTGGTGCATCACGCTCTCAAACCTCATCGCCGCAGAATTCTTCAATTCCTTAGGGAAAATTCAGGAAGTTAAAGAACATGCAGAAGAAGCAAAGAGTATGGGACTGCTTATTGCTGGAGCACACTGGCCTGATCTTGGTGAGGTCGAACTGCTTCTGAGTGAACCTGAAAAACACAACTCTCATTTTTCTAGACAGTAGAGAATCGATATCCTAGACTCCATCATCAACATTCCCAAGTCTCAAGATACATTGCTGAAATCAGAAAACATTTCTTGGTGTTTTGGATTCAAGGTTTGATGCCATTGAACTTCTATCATACTTTCAGCATTTAAAACATATCTTACCTAACTGGAATATCTCCAGAAATCTCTTTGAATGTTCAATCAGTATAACTATCTGGATGTTGTAGTGGTACTTCACATTCATAATTTATTCAAATATATTATATATTTCTAATTTTTTGAGAAGCCAAACCAAGACCCACCCCATACTTGGAAGGATCATCTAAAAAAAATCAGAAAATTGAAGCTAAGAAGATAATGGTGGGGAAATATAAGTTGGGGCTGACAAGCAGCAATAAGGCGAGAAAAAGCCAGTAGTATGTAGGCTGTGATAGTGAGGTGGGCCCAGCAATGAATATTGTGGAATGACTAGAAAATATCAACCCATCTTTTTACTAGATGCTCCAGGTCAATATGTCTCATTATAGAAAAGATGCACCACAAATTTATAGGTGGAGGGGGGGGGGGATGTTGTAACCCAGTTACTGGGTTACCCTCAGACTCACTAGACACTGGCATATTTGAGAGAAAGTAATGGTGACTTGTAGTTTATAAAATGAACTTTCTCTATCAATTGGTTGTTGGATTTGTGAAGGTATATAGAGACCCTTCTTAAACCACATGAGAGATTTCAAATAAAATTCAAATTATTTACAATCTCATTTGATCAAATAATATTAGAATCAAATCATTTTTCTTTATAAATAATTCACATTTTTTTCCTGGATGGATAGTATTATTTTTATCTGTTTAGTTATCATAGTGATAATGAGTAGGATAAGCCACTGCTTCTCCATTAAAGACCCGTTCAAAACGATTGATTAAGGTTTGTCTTGGCTGTTTGAGAGATTAGGGGATACATAATCAGGTCAATCGATGATTCCACACGCAGCTGATTAGAAGTCACTCCAGGATTCAACTCACTGGTGCAGGCATTTGAGCCTGATCCATTGTCCCAAGATCGCTGAGAGTCAGATCATATGCGTTCTCTCTTGCTTGAAATAAACGTGTCAAACGAGCTACTTCTATCTCTTCCAGTGCCTAGTAATTTTTTTTTTCAAATCAACAAACGCATATACTCAAGTTCAAATTGTTCACATGAAATTATTTGTAGTTTCTTCAAAAGAAAAAGAAGAAAAATACTTACATTGCTTGGGGTTCCAATCTGCAACAATCGACGCCTAAAGTGTTCCATGATACGCGCACTTCTTGCTTCATCAGCACTCTCTTCCTCGTTTCTTTGAGCTCTATGAGCAGCATTTTCTTCAATCAACTTTTCGTCTTTTCCTCGGCAGAGAGGACAAGTTTCATTTCGATTGCGCCATTCTCCCACACAATCTTGATGAAAGAGGTGATCACAACTTGGCCAATTCATCTTGTTGTCTCCAGCATCAAATTGGCTAAGACATATTGCACATTCGCTGGGTTCCTCCTAAATTCACCACCATATACGAACCACTCAGATTTCTTGTTTAACCAAGTATGGTGATGTCGAGATTATTAAATTACTCACAAACTGGGGGCTTTCTTGATGCTGCACTTGTTGATGAATGATGGGAGTCACGGCTTGACAAGAGGGACATGGTGATCCTTCAACCTGTCGGGGATTCACACAACCTTTATGGACAGTGTGCCCCTCAGTGCAAGTGGGCCACTTGATGAATTTCTGACGATCCGAAATGGCGGAACTACAGATCGAACATACTCCGGCTTCCTACTCAACACACCACTCGCATCATAAGAAAACTTCCAAGGCTGAAGGCAACCTCTTGCGCGTAACTGAAGCTAAAAAAAAGCACGGTTTCTCACCTGAGGGCCAGCCGAAGTCGAACCGAACGGATTCAGCCGTCTCATACCGGTGCGAACTGTACTGGTGCACTTCTGTTTGAGCGATTTGCATGATGACGGACATTTCGCAAATTATTCGAGGAGGAGGAGGCTTCCTGCTCAAATGGAAGCCCATAAATGAGGCTTGATACTTGGAAAAGCTTTGATGATTGTGAACAAGAACGATGATGTTAATTAGCATCCAGAAAATATAACCAAATTAGAAAAATTAATAGATAACTTACCACAAAAAGTCTCAAACTTTGGACCAGGAGTAGCATTTATTAATTAAATCTTGGAACAGCTTGGTTGATCAACACAAAGGATGAGATGACGAAAAATTAGGAGAGGAACCGATCCTTATCAAGTCATGAGTCGAGGTAAATTTTGCATTTTAGGTGTCACTAGTGAATCGGTACCGAGCTTAAAACTTGCTTTCATGGAGGTATGGTGGACATTCAAATTCTTAATTCCTTAGCCGTTTCCAAAAAGTAAACAAAACAAACCATTCCGAAGTTTAGGGATCTCCTGGTCATGTGTGTGTGTGTGGTTGGAAACCCTCTGAACTTAGATCCAAGGAAATGTTTCAAGAACTTCTTATCCGAAATTTTCCAGCTTTTCCAGCACCAAAAAGTCCGCTTTTATTAAATAAAGTGGTGGGATGGAGGGCGGGGCTCACACGTTACATCCTGCAAGGGGGGGGGGGATATCCTAATAGTAATCATCAGACAGCATCAGACGGGTACAATGTATCAGAAAACGAGGGTGAAAAATTAACTAGACTCTACGCGACTACATACTTGCAGTAGGAAACTATAAGCAATCATAAAGTGTTGGGGTATAGAGGGGTTAAATTGAAGTATGTATGAAGAAGAATATCCACTCAAGGATAATCTCGAATACTCTGATTCGGGATGAGGGTGTCGCCGGTCCGGAACGCATTTGCCGTTTGAGGGAAAATATTCTCAAATTCTGGAACAATCTGAAACCGCTTAATGCTATTCCATGCCATGGCCCAATGATCGATACCGCCATGATCCGAGCCATGAGGACAGGCTGGTTGATGTAATCCGGCCGCCCGGCGCGCCACTCTTGTCCTCCCACTCGACCTGATGCATTGTGATCTACACATTGTCATGTTTTGCTTCGTGGTTGTTTTGCTCTCTATTGATTCGACCTCTGGTCTCAAGGACTTCATCCGGGCGTATCACAGGCGTATCACGACTGAATGGGCCTCCAATTCGCGCAAAACTTGGACGATTGGGCCGCCGATTGGCCCGAGTCTCTCTACGATTGAAAACGCTGGGCTGCCAATCTTTCGAAACCCATCTGTTTCAATTCCTTGAGTCCTCAACTACAATCTCGCGATCAAAACTTGTGTTTGTACTTTGGTGTGTGGAGCTTATAGTATACTAAAAAAAACCCTTTTTTTGGAAACAACAGCCGGCGTATCAAATATTGAATGATCTCAAGCAACTCGATGAATTTGTCCAAAAGCGTTCATTGGCACCAACGATCGCATTCATACGACTATTGGGGCTGCAAATAAGACGTCGACGACACGGTGAGAGTTTGATAGAATACCGGACGAGTGTGAGAGCAATGCAGGACACATTAAAATTTTTGTGACTTATCCTCACCTGTACTAAGCTTTGATTTTTCCTAGGCTTGATATTTATCAAGACTACTTTGACTTCCTTTTGAATAGACTATTCAGATCCAGTGTGATTTTGGATGGAACTTGATATTGAACCACTGAGTCAAAACAACAAAAAGGTTTTCCCGGAGCTACCCAGACTACTATGCATTCATGCAAAAACTTGACAACCAAAGGAAGGTGAATCTATAAATACGAAGGATATGTTTTACAGATAACTTTGCGGTTTGAGAGAATAAATTAACAGATGGTGATATAATCAGGCATCCACAAAACAAGAAATGAGGACATTCCAATCCAATTATTACGCCTAGTGTTTGTAAGAGACGCCGGAAAGCGTACTCATGACCCAATCACCTATCAGAGCGTGCATCCTGGTTGTGGGGTGAAGTGAATCCTGAGGTATCAAACCAACATCAGTTAACTGAATTGAGTTCAAACAACGGTACAAGGGAAAACTAACGAAGTACATGTACTCTCCGGGGGATTTGCAGGGTTGAGAGTAATACAGACAAGGCGCGTTTACGTGGGTGAATCCAAACTTTTGATGAAGAGACAGTTGGAATGTTAGCCTTCACATATATCTCAAGCAAGCGTTGAGAAGAACTTACGCTATCAGGAGCGCGCTGAACACGAAACCAAAAGCTTCTTATGTCATGGACATAGGCTGAAGGGGAATTAAGACTGTGAATAGCGCTGATTAAACGCTTTAGAACGCAGACGGACAAGGAAGGGTGTCAGTCACTGGTTTGGTGATGATATTTATTCTTTGATTGAGAGGCTGACCTTATTGTAGGCTTCAGTCAGCATTTTTATGCTCACTTGTCCATACCCCCAACCCGGACTAGGGCCAGCAAAAGCGTCATTGGGGACAATCTGAAGGGGTGGCAAGGTAAGCACATGGAATTCGGATGGTTGACTGTAATTGGACCGGGACGAATGAGAAATGACAAGTTGAGCTCTTAGACCAAGGTGCTTATAGAAAGATTCAAGTTTTTGCGAAAGGCAATTAATTGTAATGAAAGAAAGAACAAACCTGTTGATGGTTGGATCACTCAGGAGAGAGGAAACCTGTCTCCTGACTTCATCGGCTTCATGGATTGCTTTTTCCACACCTTCGCCCGCATGCCAAATGTGATGAATGGAGTTTATACCCACCCATGTGAGGTGGAGGACCCTTCCGCGGCCTCTATGGATTTTGCCTGATTCAATGTCGTTTTTGTAGTATTGTATCTGGGACCGCGTATCTGGGACACCGCTGTTGGTAAGCTCGTTATTGGCTGTCGCGCCGCCGCTGGGGGATAGACATAGTCATGCGATTTTTCGAGCAACGTGAATGAATACTATCAGTAGATGTTAAATATCGGTCCTATACCCTGCAAACGAAAATGACTCACTAGGCATAGTTGTATAACGGAATACCCATGACTTCAGCGATGTGTTCAACCCAAACTGGGCCATTAGACCAGCGGCCCTGATAATAGGGTGGTTGCCGGAGTCTCGAGGAGAACTTGCTTTCTCGGGGATGTCCGTTGTCTGTTTATTTATCTGACCTGTCAGTATCCTTTTATCAATTGGTACATATTTATTGGCATTGGATTATATCCGCATTAGAAAGGTGATGCTGACCGCAATAGGAAGCTCCAAAAACTACAACGCTGCTATACTCCAAAGATTCCGTTAGGGCGATCGCTTTTGGAAGCACGAACGAGCACCTTTGAGAGCAATGTTCATTCAGTTCGTACGTTAGCTAGAGCGCACGCAACATGTGCAGTCGTATGACAAGTTTTTACTAACATGGCAAGAAAACAGATGAATCCAAGCCAACTCATGATGTTGGCTGTAAAGGCTCTGGTGGAAGTTTTAGACTCTTCCTCGAGAACGACGCCCGCAGTTGATCTGATTGGTTGTATATTTTGTGTTTGGGCTCAAAGGGACAAGCAGAGAGAAAAAGGGAACTGGTGAGATTGAGGGGAAGGGCAACGCTGTCGCGAACGTCGTATGAGAATGATGCGGGTTATGCTGAGAGTAGATTGACTGAGACTGGCCGCAAGAACGGAATGCAAGCAGGATATTAGAAATGAGAAAGTAGGAGAGGTGAGCGTAGCCGAAGAATTGAGTGGCGCAAGCTATGTACTCTTTTGCCGGTGAATCTTTTGGCCGGCACTCAGTCATGGAGGTCTCCGTCGTGCAATCTTGCGATCAGCTAGGCGCGTAAACAAAGAAGGAACATGCTCGGCTTCCCAACCCGCATGTTGCTTTTGAGTTTTCTCGAGTGTTGATCATTTCCGTCCTTGAGCGCTCGAGCAAGCGAAAGATCCGAAAAGCAGATCTTCCTACTCCATACGCATGCATCATACGGCATTCTGTATTATCTTTTGCTCACAAACAAAAAGATCCGCCGTACGTTTACCTCACCCCGGACTTGCAGGTGATCACACATCCCCCAGCAGCCAGCTTCATGGCAGGTCACCAAGATCCACCGCTCTCACTCGGGCACTGGTACTGTAGCAAATCAAATAAAATTTTGCGCATCAATACCAGAATCTATCATAAACGGATCAGCATCTGGTAAGGCGCTCTGAGAGTAGCCAGTACACCCTTGCAGCAGTGTGTGACGAGCAAGCACAGCACCCAGCAAAACTTAAAAAATATTTATGAAGGTGACTTCAGGTAGGAAAAGTTGAATCAAGAAGATTAGAAGAATATATAAAATTACTCACTTTTGAGATAAGAAAAACAAAAATTATCATTGAATTTCTCTTTTGAAAGAAGTTTTCTTAAAGAATATGATAAATAAAGAATTAATCTGTAATAAGGTAGTATGAAGCGATAGAATCTTTGTAACTAGCAGAGTAGTAAGGTATTTAAGAGCTTGTATTCGACATGAGGGTCTTTTTCCTCATGGCGAAATTTTTGTGTTATCTGCTTTCATCTTACATTCGTCATTAAAAAAGTAATACAGAAGCTTTTTAAAAAAAATCATACACCCAGAAAACTAAGGATTAGAGTCTGCCCGATCCATTTGCTTGTTCTAGGATCATTTATCTTTTAGCGTGTCTAGGGCTGCTGTGATCCTAGTTGTTACAATTATTTCGCCATCTATCTCAGGAGATATTTCTCCTTTCCTTTTCATCTCGGGTTTTATTCTCTCTCAATAAAATTTTTTCCGTTTAACCAATTTCAGTTGTGTTATTTTTCTTTCCTCATCTCTTGTACCAGATTATTTCTTGAGGCTATACCATCTTGTTTAATTTTCTTCTTTTAAAAATTAGGCGCTTGTATTGTTTTTGCTACTTTGTTGTAACTTTACTTCATTGTAAATTTTCAAATTAGGTTTTATTCTTTCCGATATGTCTCTCCCCCCTCTCCCATCTTCTCCCTCAATAACTCCGGCGGACAACTCCTCAAGCTCCATCGAAACTAAGGTTGCGCAGTTGGCGGATCAGTTATCCTCCATCAAATTCGGATCAGCCAATAGTGAAACTCAACTTTCTCATCTTCAAACCGAGCTCCAATCCATCAAAAGAACCTTCAAACACCTCGCGGACGATGTCAAAGACATTCAATCGATGAAGAGTTTGTATTCGGACCTCAACAATGTTAAGCTTTATTTCCAGGATCAAGTTATGAAGCTTCAATCTTCGATTGATCAGATCCGTTCGGTAATTGATGGTTGTAACACGGCAATTCAACAAAATTCGGCTCAAATCATCGATTTGTCTCGATCCGGTTTTAACTCTCGAGATGTGGCGGAACTTTCGTACGCTCAATTTACGGGGAATCCGAAGGAGACCAAGCAGTTCGTTTACTTTATTCGAGAAAAGCTTTTTGAGAAGGCCGATTGTTTTCGATCAGAAAAATCAAAAATCAATTGGATCGTTTGCCATTTTCGTCATTCGAATGGTAATTTGGGTGATCCTTGCCCTTCGTACAACTGGTGGATGGCGCTTCTTTTTGAAAACGCTCGGGAACAAGGTCTTCCAATAGAGTCAGCTTCGGTTCAAGACCCCTATGTTTTATCTCACCTTCTTTCGGCCTCGGCGTTTTTAACTCATTTAGAGGAAGTATTCGACAACAAACACGACAACGAAGATGCGAAGAAGAAATTAAACACTTTCAGACAACAGAACCGTACGATCGAGGAGTTCAATGCCTTGTTCAATTCTCTATGTTTTTCTGTCGATCTCACGGAGGAATCTCGTTGTGATTTCTATGAACGAGCCCTCAATCCAAAAATCCTCAAGATCGCGGTCATGCGAGGCGATTGGAAATCGACTACTACCTTGAAGGGCAAACAGGCATTGGCGGTTTCGGCGGCTGAAGCTCAAGATAAGATTGCTTCCATCAATTCTGGTTCACTTCCGGCCTTTCAAAAACGTCAGCACCCTCAACCTCTTTCCCAATCTATCTCTGCTCCCCCCGTTCGTGTTCCGGATGGCGTAGTCCCAATGGATTTGGACACCATGTCGTCCGAAACCTGTTTCAACTTCCCTAGATTCCGAGCGATCTGTCGGAAGAAACATATCTGTCAACGATGTCACGGTAAATTCGATAGGCAGCATGCAGTCAACAAGGGCTGTACCTCAAAAAAGAAGCAGCCTGAGGTCGATGATAAGCTTGATTTATACAAGAAGTGGATTGCCGAAGGAGGAAAGGAGGTCGAGGAGGCCTTGGCTGAGGCAGCTGCTGAAGAAGGTTCTAAACCGTCAGGCGATCTTAATGTGGACGACATTCAGCCTCTAAGTATGGGTGACATGTGTTGGGATGAGGCGGTTGCTCATATGGATCTGGACAAAGAACCTTGTAAGTCTGTTTATCAGAATTGTTTTGTTATTCCCTTTCCTTCGCATCGTCCAATTCTCCCCGTCAAAATAGGACAAAAAGAGTTGTGTGGCAAAGCTTCATCCCTGTTCGACTCAGGGGCTTCGGCGTCCTTTATTGATATTGGCTTTGCTCGTAGGAATTCCTTTTCATTACTTCAACTTAGCCAGCCTCTGAAGTGTCGAGGGTTTGACGGAACCACGGCTCGTTCAGGGAAAATAAAAGAATGTTGGATCGGCCGGATTCAACTACCGTTTTCTTCTTATTCTCTTATCTTTAACGTCAAATTCTTTGCCACTAACTTATCGTCAGCTGATATTATTTTAGGCACTCCTTGGTTAACTAAAAATCATGTGTTTCTAGGGGGTTCTCCCATGTCTCTTTTCATTCCCAAGCCTGTAGTCTCTATCTCTTCTGTTGAAACTGACAGCTTCCCAGCAGAATTAAAACAGTTTGAATTGGTATTTGTGTCAAAAAGTCTTAGCTCCCTTCCTCCACATCGGGAGGGATATGATTGTCAAATAAATCTTAAGCCAAATAGTACCCCCCCATTTACGGGTATGTATAACTTAAGTGAAAGTGAGAATAAGCAGTTAAAGGAGTATATTGACGACAATCTAAAGAAGGGTTTTATTCGTGAGTCTTCTTCTCCGGCGGGAGCTCTGATCTTTTTTGTGAAAGTTCCTGGGAAAGCTGACCGTCCGTGTATAGATTATCGATTATTGAACTCTATGACAGTTCGCGACTCTTATCCTCTTCCCTTGGTCTCAAGATTGTTGAATAATCTGGCGGGATGTAAGTACCTCTCCAAGATTGATCTTAAATCGGCTTTCAATCTGCTTAGGATCGAGCCAGGCCACAAATGGAAAACGGCTTTCCGGACGCCATGGGGCCTTTTCAAATATAGAGTTATGCCTTTCGGGTTGGCCAATGCCCCAGCAACCTTTCAAAGGTTCATTCAGCATGTTCTTCGTGAGTATTTAGATGTATGTTGTTTTGTTTACATCGATGATATACTCATATTTTCTAAGACAAGAGAACAGCATGTTGAAGATTTAAAAAAGGTTTTAGGTAAGCTAGAAGAATATTCCTTGAAGGCCTCACTAAGTAAGTGTCAATTCTTTAAGTCCAAAGTAAAATTTTTAGGATTTGATATTTCTCGGGAAGGAATCCAGATGGATCCAAAAAAGCTTTTGACTATTTTAGATTGGCCTTACCCAAAATCGGAAAAGGAATTACAGCGATTTTTGGGATTTTCTAATTTTTATAGGCGGTTTATACCAAAATTTTCCAAGCTGGCCGGCCCACTTACTGACTTAACAAAGAAAGGATTATGTTCGTCAAAAAGCTTAGAGGAAAGGGCGCCAAAAATTTCATTTGCAGCTCTCAAGAATTGTTTTTCAAAGGCGCCTCTACTGCGGCATTTCGACTTCAATCTTCCTAGGATTGTTCATGTCGATAGCTCGGGCTACGCGATAGCTGCGGTGCTAAGTCAGGAGGGATCGGACGGGAAAATACATCCAGTTAGTTTTTATTCAAGAAAGCTTTCCGATCGAGAAAGAGGTTGGCCAATTTTCGACCTAGAACTGTTGGCGGTTGTTACAGCATTTGAGGAATGGCGCGCCTGGCTAATGGGAACCAAGGACCCGGTAAAGGTTTTTTCTGATCATGCTAATTTGCGGTATTTTCAGGCTGCTAAACGACTTTCTCCTAAGCAAGCTAGGTGGGCGGCGTTTTTGGATGAATTTAATTTTCAAATTTATCACATTACAGGAAAACGCAATCCAGCAGATGGACCGAGCCGTCGTCCGGACTATATCGCTGGCTATTTAAAGAATTCTCCAGCGGAGACCATCTCGAAGCGGCTGGTCTCGGAGTCAATTAATGACTTGGTACCATCGGAAGCCAATACCGACACAGCTAAGCATGATCTATTTTTTCAACGACCTACTGATGAGCTGATTGATTATCTCAAGCGAGCCTATAATACTTTAACAGAGGATGAAAAAGAGGACTTACAGTTATTCCAGGACATGTACAGCAGTTCCCAGAAAGCTTGCGTTCGCGAGCTCCTGGGGTCCCGATTTTTTTTTTTTTTTTTGCCACAATTTTTTGCGCCTCGGAACCTGTACACATGACTGTACAGGTTGCAAATCGGCTGCCGAGGCCTTGATCGGGCTCCGGGCACTCGGCTGTTGCCTGGCAAGGGGAGGTGAGGCACCAATGTGATGACCGGTTCCAGCTCAAAAAACTGCCAGGATTCCGATGGTCCAACTCCCAAATCTTCAACTTGAATAATGTGGGAGTTGGGCCATAATGCCTAGAATACTGTGGCTGTATGAGCCCACATACAGGACAAAAAATAAAAGAAAAAGTGTGGCACAAAAAAAAAAAAAACTGGATCCCAGGGGCTCGCGACAGCAAGCTTTCTGGGAACTGCTGTATTGGTTTAACGATAGGATTTTTGTTCCTTCCTCTATGAGAACGCGGATTATTCAACTTTCGCATGATTCTCCTTCGGCGGGTCACCCTGGTATTGCACAAACTTTGGCATTAATCACTCGGTCATTCTCTTGGCCAGGAATACAAAAGGAAGTAATTCAATATGTTAAGTCTTGCGATTCTTGTCAAAGAGTCAAGGCCCGCCGCCAACAGCCCAAAGGACAGCTTAATTCGTTGACGGTCCCGGAAAAACCTTGGAGCAAGATAGGAATTGATTTTATAGTCAAGCTGCCAGTTTCAGGGGGTTTCGATTCTATTATGGTGGTTATTGATCTGTTAAGTAAAATGACTCACTTTATCCCTTGCAAAGAAACTTACACGGCAGCGCAAATAGCGAATTTATTTAGGGTCAACGTTGTGCGGCTACATGGGCTTCCGCAAAAAATCATTTCAGACAGAGGATCTATATTTGTAAGTAGATTTTGGGACAGCTTAATGAATTCATTACAAATCAAGTCCGGGTATTTGAGTGCTTATCATCCTCAGACGGACGGACAAACGGAGAGGATGAATCAGGTTCTGGGGGATTATCTCCAACACTTCTGTTCATTCTATCAAGATAATTGGGACAAAATATTAGATATGGCAGAGTTCGCCATAAATAATTCTGACTCAGCTTCTTTAGGGGTTTCTCCCTTCTTCTTTACTTATGGCTATCACCCGAAGTTTAGCGTACTAACAAACAATTCAGGCATAAAACCAGTAGACAAATTTACTGAAGATTTACAAATAATTCAAGAACAAGCGGTTGAATGTTTGAATCAGGCTCAGCAAAGACAAGCACGCTACTACGATTTGAGAAGACGGGAGGCCTCGCAATTTAAGGAAGGGGATCAAGTTTTATTGCTAAGGAAGTTAATTTCAACAAGACGGATGAATTCCAAATTGGACTACCGATTTTTGGGACCATTTTGGGTTATTGAAATGGTCGGAAAGAACGCGGTACGATTAGATATCAACAAAGACTATCCAAAGATTCACCCTGTCTTTAATATTTCTTTAATAGTAAAATACAATAGTCCTAGGGAAGTTCAGGGTCGCGGGACGGTTCAGGGTATCAAGGAGCTCTATTATAGGGAGGGTAGAGTCGTGAAAGAATGCAAACAACTAGAAGTTTTTATTATCATTAGAATGAATTGAGGTACAAGTTTGTAAACAACAAAGTAGAGATGTCAATGTACCTAGAAGCAAGCGAGACTTTGTTGTGATTCTTGTAATGGGCTTTTGAGAAGAGAAGAAGATGAAATAGTAATGAAGAGAATAGATAGAGACGATCTGTGTGAATTCATGAGTGAAGTTCATTAGTCTCAGTGTTTCATAGCTATAACTGCTAAGAATCGTTGGTCTTACTTGGAGGTCTTAGATCCAACTTCTTGTTTCTTTGTCTGCGGATGCTATTGAGCAGTGCGATGAGCTTCTGTTCAGCAGTGCGATTCTAGTTAGCTTTTTGGTTTCTTTTCTAGTTTTTTATCTATAACAAAGTTTGTCTTACCTTTGTTTCTTTCACAGTGCAAACTGGTATTCTGGTCTTTGGAGGTTTCGGTGAATGGTGGTTTGTCTACAGAATATACCAAATGTTAGTTGCTTGTCTGATTAAGTAAATTCTTGTGTTCTGGTGCTAACCGATAAGTTCGCTAGGTAGACTCTTGGTTGACGAGGCAGATGCGATAGGGGAAGATAATCGATCAAGCAAGCTGCTATTTAAGGTAGACAGTGGTCAGCCTAGAAGCTTGCTTGTGCCTTGTATTTTCTTAGTCTAGTCTACTGCGAACTTACCTCCTATTGGTTCTGGTGTAGTTGCCTTGTTCTGTCGCGTTAGCTAATGAGCTGCGGTCTATAGTTTCCATCTTAGTTAGTGTTGTGTCTCCTAGATGGTTTCTTGCGTGATTTGGTGAAGATAGCTTACCAATCACTGCTGCGCTTTCTATCTGTTGCGTTCTAGCCCTTTTTAGGGTCGCTTCTCTATCTATTGAGTTTGGATTCCAACAAGTCGTAGATTGGTCCAAACTGGCTATGATACTCGACGCGCGACAGGTAAGTAAGGGTAAGTTTGATTATTTGCTTCGTTGGCGTAATTCTACCCCGGGAGAAGACACTTGGGTAGCTGATAGACATATCCCAAGGTGTTTGCAGAGTTATTTGGATGCCTTTAGGAACAATTTGGTAGCCTTATATAAATCAAAAAATAAGGGTTATAATAGGCAAGGCATATTTGTGACGAGCAAGCACAGCACCCAGCAAAACTTAAAAAATATTTATGAAGGTGACTTCAGGTAGGAAAAGTTGAATCAAGAAGATTAGAAGAATATATAAAATTACTCACTTTTGAGATAAGAAAAACAAAAATTATCATTGAATTTCTCTTTTGAAAGAAGTTTTCTTAAAGAATATGATAAATAAAGAATTAATCTGTAATAAGGTAGTATGAAGCGATAGAATCTTTGTAACTAGCAGAGTAGTAAGGTATTTAAGAGCTTGTATTCGACATGAGGGTCTTTTTCCTCATGGCGAAATTTTTGTGTTATCTGCTTTCATCTTACATTTGTCATTAAAAAAGTAATACAGAAGCTTTTTAAAAAAAATCATACACCCAGAAAACTAAGGATTAGAGTCTGCCCGATCCATTTGCTTGTTCTAGGATCATTTATCTTTTAGCGTGTCTAGGGCTGCTGTGATCCTAGTTGTTACACAGTGATGATGGATTGCAACTACACTCAAAGACGAGGATCCTCACACCTGTGCCTTCCAGACACACTGGATATCGACATTACCCATTAGGCTCGGATCAAGCAACACCAGGTACCTCTGCCACTGGTCACTGCTTTAGCAATTGTGGATGCAATCGTGAAAAAATCTTTGTCATACGGGTCGGTCAAAGAAGCGAGGTCTTTAGAGCCCAAGAGACAGGCTTGAAAACTTTAGAAAATACCACAGCAGTCGATGCATCCCGTCGTATTCCGACGCATCATCAACATCAGCCGGGCCCGAGCCGTGCACATACACTATCCATCATGGAAGCTTTGTCGTATCATAGAATGCGAAGTTTTTCAACGAGAAATATGTCTTGATGTCTTCACCTTGGACACTGTGGCGACTGGTAGTCGCGTTAGTCGCGTACCTGGCTTATTCTTCACACTGATATATTTGCATTTGTTTGCAGTAACTACAATGGTCATCTTATCAATTGTCCAAGTTAATTTTCTGCTGAATTTGTGTGCGGGAGATTTGTGCATCTACTGTTGCACTTAAAAGAGTGAAGAGCAGACTTGCTCCACATGGCTTTGTCGAAAGCGATTTGCAGATGGGTTGATTGTGCGGGTCATTCAAATTCCTGCCTCCAAGAAAAAAAAATGAATCATGGTCATAAAGCAGGGACCCGGTCAGCAAGAAACTGCATGATAAGATAGTTTGGTATGAGTGACTTAACTAACAGGGTCTCTTTGATATTACATGTCAACCATCCAGAGCTTGGCTTTTTTCTAGCATTTGGGGCTTCTGCAACGAGTATGATCACAGTAGGGAAGGACTGTGCATATGCTGAAGTATCGTATGATCCAGAGCAGCCTTGATCAGGGTACATAATAGTGGAGAGCAAACTTCGGAGTCAAATATAATTAGCAACAACAGGCAGTGTCTGATTAGTTACTCGTATGATTTTGATCAATTAGGATTTGGTACAGAACAATTCAGGTGGCTCCGAGCCGTGTGTGCGGAAAACCTGAGTATTCTGCTTAAGATGCCATTTTTGAAAAAGGACAACAGGACATCGGCCTTGCAAATCAGCATTCTGGCTGACGCTGCTCAACATCCCGGAAACGTGTATGTCCAGAATTAAAGGGACGTCTCCATGGGAGTGTCCCTGTGGGACGGCGGCGCCCCATCCCATAGAGGGATAAGTTAGCGTCTCCAGATGAAGTGGAAACAACAGTGGTGTGACTGCAATTTCTTTGAACATATATTCCGACCAACCATTCCGAGCCAGCCCAACTCTACTGGAGGAACAGTCCTTAAACTTCATCATATCGAATCATCATATCCAAATCGCCAACAATGTTCCTCGTCAATTTGCTCCAGAGAGGATATGTCACCTCAACAGTCATACTCATAGCTCTTGTCATTACTCTTCACTCGGATCAAGTTGCAGCCTCCACGCAAACTTGCGAAACATATTTCGGCCCCGGCAAAGATCCTCAGAGGTATTGTGAGCACAAGCCGCCTGCATATCAGATTGTCTTATCAAATCATTAACTTTTGGATATATCGGTACATCCTCAGACTGTTCAAGAGAGAACATCAGATACTCATGCGCGTTCGATTCATGCAAAGAGGGGGGGAAGCCCTGTGAGCTGCAATTCTTTTTTCATTCTTTAGGACTTATCGAAGTGGTGGAAGGCTTACATGTTTTTTCTCCAATAATGCGTGCTCGCATTGGATCAATATCAGGGTCATCCTTTTACTTCCAGAACTGCTTTCTGATCAAAAACAATAAACCCATCACCACAAAGCCGAAAGACAAAGTATATCCAATACAATACCACTCTAGAGATGAGGGTTTTGGAGGGACCATTAGTAAGTTTTTGTGATGACTGTTTCAATTTAAGATTTCTTTCAGCATTGACTTATAACCTTTGACCGGGTTTGCAGGGGCTCAAGATCGTAAAACTCGCGCTTGGTACAGTTGCACATACGAGCCCTACACACTGAATTCCCATAGACCCAGTGAGTTCTCCTCCCGTAATTTCAACTCACATGTGGGTTTGCAAACTGAGACACATTTTTAAACTCACCAGCCTGTACAGAATGTTTTCCAAAATGATCAGGCGCCAACAATGGTTGATGCAAACTATTTGAGTGGGGGAATGAATTTTTGACACTATCATAATAAGGGAGGTTCACAATTGAAATTTATAAAGTCTTTCTAGTCAATTTTAAGGTCCGTGTCAGCAACATTTTAAAATTTTAACAAGATGTGCAAATTTGAGGGTTTCTAAACAATCAGAATGTTTTTAATTTTAAAAAATTTGTTGAGAAACATCTCAAAATGGGCTTTAAAAATCATATAAATTCCAAATGTGAGCCCCCCAATGTGTTGTGTTGCATCCTAGCCAGCAGTTTGTCTTAAGATCAACCATCATGTCTGGCAACCAACTTGTATTTTGTTCATGAAGAATTCATGTAGACTTCCAATCACCAACCACCCAATTTGTTTGATGTTATCTGTAACATAGAGGCACTTGACTTCCAATTTTTACTGAGATAAATGGAGTAGAATGTAACCAATGTCAATATTGCTACCTAATGACTCTTTTTGTGACCAAAGGGCCATGGCCCATACAAGCTCTTTCACAATGATGTGCACAAACATCAAACACTTTTGTTTCTGGGTGATGAAATTTTTCTTTGGTTTTTTTTGTTTGTTCCTGGGAGAAATATTTTGCGTCAAATTTCTAGTCTTCAGGAACGGAGATATGAGATGACTAGGATAAGTTTTGGATGGCTTTTGGTGACTCAAAAAAGAAATAAAACCACCTATGTTGCCTGGACACATTTACCCCGTGATCTTGTTGTCAACCTGTGCAGGTTCAAACAGTCCCACACTCACAGAAAACCAATAGGGTTACTGGCATTGTTCAACCTAGGCTTCTGTGTGGGATTAATAGCTCATGATAGAGATGGTTGTGGGGTATCCCAGCAGATGCAGATTTTGGTACAAAGGCTACCCATCAGACGGACCCTCTTGGCCTGGAGACTGTACCATCTCAAGGCCTACAAGGCACAACCTCATTGACTGGAAGGGAAACCTTCCGGCCAACAAGGCACATGTACCTCATTGATCAGAAGGAAACCCTTCCAGTTGATGAAGCACATGTACCTCTTCAACTGGAAGGTTTTCCTTCCAGTCAATGAGGCACATGTACCTCTTTGACCGGAAGGAAACCCTTCTGGTCAATTGTCAGCCGCCCTTGCTTTAAGGGGCGGGTATTCAAAGATACCCCCTCGGATACCCGCTGAGGCGGGGGGATACCTGCCAGTGGCTGCAGATGCAGGTGCGGATGGCAGTTTCCCTGGAAAAAGCAGCCGGATATCCACATGCGCCGGGGCCATCTCTAGCTCATGAGCTTGTAGGCATCTCAGAGTATTGGGGGAGGATTCCCCAACAGTGAGGTTATAGGGCCAACAGAACAAATGCTGGATCAAGGCATTCTTCCCAGGGAATGTAATTTCCATATGTGACAGTTGTGGTAAATTTTAACCTGGAGAATGAGGTATTAGCTAGGTGGTTGCTAGGCTAAATAGCTCTGTTTTGTGTCCATCTGACATGGTTGAATTACCCAACTGGTTAAAAAATCAACCACCCTACATACTGCAGCATTGATCTTTTCAAGCTACAATAAGCCCCCCCCCCATTCAAAACCCACTCTAGTACTTGGATCCAATCACTTGCCATCCCTCACATTATCACCATGTGTCTCATTGGCTTCTCAATACTCTGGCCTCTTGTCAGCCTACCAATGATACTTGCAGCCAATCCTGCAGATGAGCTTGGTATGCATAAAAACTCAGAATGCACTGGTCAAGTCCATCTGTTCAGCAAAGAACAACCATGTGAAAACAACTGTAACCGTTACATAAAAATCATTGGACGTGTTTGCAGTGGGTGTGATGAGCAACACTATGAGTTAGCACAAACATGTGACAAATGTTGTTGCCCAGTGCTTGACAGCTCTTGGCATAACCCGGGATGTAAAAAACCTTATGGTGTAATCACAACTGCTCAAGAAAGATTGCCGCCATGCAACAACTGCAAAGACCCTTTCTGGACGCAACGTCGGAAGATGATATGCTT